GGACAAGTCGGCCGTATTTAATTTCCCCGATGTCGTCGTCGGTATAGAGGAGCCCCATCGAACCCCAATAAATTTGAAATGTCAATACTCTTGTGCTGACATTTTTTGACTGATATATTTTAATAACAATATTATATCACTACTAAAGGACTCTACCTCTGAAACTTTTCACCCCGTCACTACTAGTAACCATATTCAACAAAAAGTTTGACGTTATACGGCGTTAATGGTTTGTTCCTATACCTCGGTTTGACCTGACAAATTTCCATTTATCATTTTGTAATAATAAATACACTCGGAGATAACTATCATAACATCTATTTATACAAAAAACACAAACCTATACGTATTTGTTTACGAAATGTTCATAAACGACTGATGATATTATTTATAATTATTCATCATTTGCATACAAAAAAGGAATTATTTTCTAATCACATGATATTACAAACAATTCACGAATTTATGAAATCAAATTTTTAGAATAACAAAACAGGATGTTTTCTGTAGGTTACATTAATTATTCTTTCTGAATTTAGTTGTAAAGTTGATAATAAATCGTAAAAAGTTTTGCCTTAAAATAATGGTTAGTTTAAAAACAAAAAAATTAAAACAGAAGACTACTTTGTGAAAAACTTGACACTATAAAAATAACATCAATTTATAGGTCATGCGGAAATAGCAGGTTTACGTAAGTGTTGAAAGTGTTTATTTTAAAGACATATTAATTATAATATGAATTATATTACACTGTATATTACATTATTAATTGTGGAGAAGTTTTGTTTCATTCTTCGGTGAGTGATATAAACGAACAAAATGGTTAGGTATACACAGTCAGGAAAATTATATTGAACCGAGACATCTAAATTAATGATATTGTGCATTATAATATGACGTCCCGTTTTAGTAATATTATCAATACAATAATATGTCACTGCACAGACATATAGAATAAATTAAACTAAATTTACACAACTATATTACATTACTGCAGCTGATTAATTAGTTATATTTATCATTGTCACATCTATTTAGAATTCTAGGAGCTATTGGAAAATATCTGTCCATGATTTGTTGTGTTCGAGTTAATAATGATGTGCAATATACTCTGAAACCGTATAATGTCGGTTTAATAAACTATACATTGTTATTGATTCTATCTATGATTCTTTACTGGCTATTTTACATTTCGTTCAATCCCTCTTGACAAAATATCTCAAATATTTTTTTTCATCAAATGCAAATACAATAAAATCACAAATATATTATATACTAAATTCTAAAACTAAAATACGAAACTACACAAACATGGAGAATCAATGAAAATTGTACCTAAGTAACTAAAAAAAAAAAAACCTGGGAGGTTTACCTGCTGCACGTGTCAAGTATTTCTCGTCACTGTAATGGATGTGTTAAAATTGAATTCAATTAATCATTGTATACGAAAAACGGTTCTGAGCGGAGACGGTCTATCAGTCTGTATTTTAGTACGCTACACTTATGTAAATTGCTATTGGTAATAAAGTAGGTAGGTTGAATATAATTTTACAAAAACAAATATCTTACTATCCAACTAAATATTTTGAAAATTAAACAAGTATATACTAATAAACATAATGACTCACGTTTCTAGTTCATAGGAATAATATTTTTTTTTTAATTACAACAAAATAATTAAAATTGTTAGTGTCTTTCAAATTTCCAATTAAATATTATTTTCCACCAATATTAAACTTTGACATTGAAGATCATAGCATTTCATCTATTATAAAATGTGTGTCAGTCATAAAAAAAAATACGCAACATTGTAGAACTGGTATATTCATTGCTTCGTTAAGTATCTAAAAAACTGTTAATGGGAATTTATATTTTAAAAAGCTCTTATAACACATTGGCTGGGTTACATATTTTATCAAACGCTGACTATATATTTTCCATTGTAGTAGTTCCTTCTTGTGCAGTGCTGGTTAATATTATAAAAACGTAGAAAGAAATTGAATAAAACATCTAAGGTTGGCTTGCATAGTCAATGTAACAGACAACAGTTGAATAGCGCAACCCTCAATATATTGGTACTCACTGCCGATTCTGAATTTAATTTGTGAATGTTGCTGGAAACATCTAGCAGATTAGTACACCTAAGTTGTTATTTTGATAAATAAATTTTACAACAGTAAATAAAATGACATCGGAAGCAACGCGCTTATAAACACTGTTCAGGCAGTGAAACTAAACCATAATATTATATTTCATCATCTGGCAGGATACAACGCATCAATCACCACTGTGCCCCTTTTTGTTTGAATGCGTTTCAGTCCAATTCAATGCTGTCTTTTCCATCATAAGTAAAAATTCTTTTGTTCATATTTTGTACTATGTCATCTCTCACTAATGTACAAAAAAAAAAAAAAAATAAAAACAAATGGAAACGAACTAACAAAACAATGTTAAATCTTATCAGTACAATTATTGTACTATTTTTTTTTCTGTGAATTTTACAATGTATAAAAAATACATTCCTATACTATTGTAGTACATGTTGCATTAATGATATTAAAAATAATAATAATAATAATAATAATAATAATGTTTAATTGATAAATAACGGTTTCACGAACGGACATGTATGTTGCAAAAGTAGGCATACCCATTGGATATTTCAAAATCTTATTTGTTTTATTTTAGATAAATAAATCAAATTTTTAATTTTCATACTTTTTCATTTATTCGAGAATATTTTTTTTAACCTTATTGGAATTGTTTGTAATTTGTAATAATTATTGTTAGTATTTATTTTTGAACAAAATGCTAATTACGGTTGTTGAATACTATGCATGCCGACAACCAACACTATAATGTAATCATCTAATATTTTGTATTTAGTCATCAAATTTATGTTTATTTTATATGACTTACGTAAAACAACAAATTACAATTATAACTATTTAATGTTTATAATGACGAATTTATGTTCTAGTTTTGATCTTTAAATCCATCAAAACTGTTTCCTTCTTTATATTAGGTATTAAAAACAAATCGTATTTCATTCCGTTCAATCTATTTGTTGAAGTCCGTATTTTTAATGTCATAATGATATACTTATAGTTTATAATTATTTTTATTAAATGTTAAATTTTAAAATGAGATTGGGAAATACTGTCACTATATAAGTATATCACTTATTGAAATGCTCATATAGCAGTGTTATTTTATTGAATGTATAACAATCAAATTATATATTTTTTATTATGTGTGTATTTCTTGCTTAAACCATGGATTGAATTCGTTAATAACTGATTGGCGTAAGACCAATTGTTTTTTCTTTCCAGTCTTGAAATCTTAAATAGGATTTATAAATTATTATAGAAACGATCACTCTTTCTTCTTTTTTATATATAATATATAATTAAAGCTGAAAAGCAATAATGTGAATTGCTCAGTAACACTTGATTTATCGTTAAGTATAGTATTTCGGACATTACATCCGACGGTGGTAACATTGTAACAATAGATGCATGCATAGTACCTATTCTTAAATTTAACACCACTACATCAAGCATAATATAATCATCAGGAACTCTTCAGTTTAATATATTTTGTAATTCCTAAAATGTTTTACTTTCTAGTGAGATTTTTATGGTTTTTTTTTTTAAATATTCAAAAATTTTTAATGGGTTCTTTTTTAATTTATTGTTACTCCGAGAAGCCTTGTACCTAAATAATAATTATGCTCAGCTATATTATATTCTCTTGTGTTTAACGAAGATTAATTAACAAGAGTAATTTCTCCAAGTAGGTGGCCACAGACGCTGTATCGTTTGTCATTTAATTTGTCAAACATGGTTATTGGAGCTGACAAATCGAAGCCCATCAATCTAAAAGTTGAACCCGTTCACAAATACTACATGTATATTCTACAAAATAATGACCACTTATCATCACGTAACACCTACAGTAGAGTTATGGGAATGAAAGCTTCAATTTATCAAATAAAAAATTAAAACAACCGATTGGGCGGAAAATATGGTCCTGGGATTTCAGATGCCTAAATAATATTATTCGAATTTCAATTTTTAAACATAACGATTTATGCATCCAAAAGTTTTAATACTATTTCGATTTTCGCGCTGGTTTTCTGTTCTCAGCACTATTATAATAGAGTGTGATCTGCATGTCTGAACGATGAATATGATAAGCATCCGTGAAAGATATATATTTCGTAGAAATAAACAGATTTTTTTCATGAAATTGTGATACTAATGAAATTCTTTTTTTTCAACAAGAATCATGAATATGAAAAGTAAACCAGATAATTAACAAATCTGACTATTCCCGAATGTATTACAGGTTACTCTATTTGGGTGGGCTATATCTGAGCAAGTTTACTATAAAAATAAACTGCAAATAAATTATTAATCATTTTTAAAATTATTTTCAAGTTAAATTCAATCGATTGGCAATATATTTATATGTAAAAATAAATTATAGTTATAAATATTTTACTTGTTTTTTTTTTAAATCACGATTGTTTTTATTTTCATTTGTATGTATTAGGTATAGGTATTTAAAATAAATGTATTACAACAAAAATTCGGTAAACCATTTTCAATTTTATGGATAATCCTTTAACCTGTCACAAAATATCCCAATTTTCATTTGATCAAAATATTATTTGATACAACTATTCAGGGATTTGAATACTACCGTATAGTACACAAACGTTTTCAGTATAATCGTACAATACAAAACGTGTTTATCATTTTAACTGTTACACGATAACATTTTTTTAACCCTGGTGAAAAAGCATGTATTATTTGTAATAGCTATAGCGTATTATACTATATTATATTATTATATTTTACTGTGACAACAAAATTATTAAATATAATCTCTAACAAAGTATTAAAAAATTAAATGCTTGCTCTAAAATGTCTTTCGTACTATGTTTTATAGAATATAGCCAATATATAATGGAATTTCAAAATTTTTTTTTTCAGATATCATAGTATAAGAATCATGTGACAAAAAGATACAGAGTCTCACGCTGCACTGTTAACTCACACCTGTCAAATGATTAAGTGAGTGTTTATAATTTACTTACTTTTTTGCAAATCTAATTTTACTATGAAGCATAAAATTTAACTATGGCACATTTAAGTAGCTTTAAATGTTATACATTTTCATTTTTTTAGTTTGTCATTATTCACCTAAACTATTTTTTCAATTTGATATTGTATTGTGATTAAACAACAACATTGTAAGAAAATATAAGTATTTTTCATTTTATTCTTATGAATTTATAATTACAATCATTAAATATTAAGTTCCAGATGTATTGATATTTTCTAATACAACTAGTTTATACTTTAAATTAATACATTGTAATATATAACAGAAAAAATTTGAACTGGTAGTTATTTTAATAGTGTATATTTTAGTAATAAGTAAACTAAATATTGTTTAGGCTCATCTTTAGCCAATCTATATATTATACAGTAGATATTATCTATTTATCTATAATGCTATTTTTACCGTTATCATTAACATTATTTCCTCCATTAAGTCATATAGCTTTCTTGTTTAACAACTTTTATAAAATATAAAATTTAAAACCATATTTTTGCTGTCAATTATCACGCCATTATTTTGTAATTAATAAAGGAAATTTTTACAACAACAATTTTAATAATCATAATAATATTTAAAACGTATGTATTCAAAATAGTTTTATAAATAATCGTCTGTGTTGCATTTTTGTAAATAGCCGATCTGACTACAAGCGTCAATCTTGATCTGTATACATATATCTGAACAGTAAAAGTATGCAAGAACTTTCTATCCTCATTGATGTTAAGCCAAACGTGGTACTTATAGAAAATTCTCTATCCTACGTTCTGTTCAACCATTTTAAAATAACGCACTGATTGTAAACAACGAGTTCACTTGTTGAATATTATTCAATAGCACAGTGTATCTACTGTAAATGTATCAACAGAAAAATTATAAATAAAATATAATTTTTTGACGCTGTCAAAGTTTGTCCATAAACACTATCCCACACTTATTGGGATGATTTTATTTTTTATTGTTGTTTAACTAAAATTAAGATTATATGAAATGTATATTTATTTGTTGAATTAATACAAATTCAAATATCACTCGATAAAAATAACATATTACCTACGTCAAAATGATTTTGTAAAATAAAACATGGTAGGTACCCACTAGCCAAAAAACAAAAAACAAAATAGATACGAGCACAAGAAACTAGTTATAAAATAAATAAAGATATTGCTTTTTACGACATAGATGGTGGGAAAAATAGATAGGCTGACCCGAAACAACGTCATTGACAATTTAAGTTACATTCGTATTTATGTGTGCATTGTTGGTCAACTCGCATTTTTTTAAGATTTATAAAAACTATGACTTGCATTAACAAGAGAATTCTGTCATATAAAAGTAGTCATACATAATATAAAAATACGTGCATTATAATTTTTGAATATTACACTAGTAGGTACCCATATTTTACGTAATATATTAAATATTGATGAACGATATAGACTCTTATTAACGGTTAATGTAGAACATGATTAGCCACTATAATATTATAAGAATATAAGTTAATTATTAGAAACAGTAAAATAAACAAACCCTATATATGTACTGGAGAGTTATGACGTTTGGTTTTATATAAACAGAGAATCATAATAAAAGCTTTTTTTAGATTGGCGTATAATTTATTTGACGTTGTTATTTGGTATTCGAAGAACTTTATATTATGCGAATAATTTGTTTACATTAGTTTTCTCGTGCATAATATATTTTCACTTTTTTTTCAGACATTCGTGTACGCCTTTTCATTTCTGACTTTGCATTGATTATAAAATAAATAATTGCATGTTAAATAGAAAAAAATGTATTCTGCAGTTAAAAGAGTTAAAAGAGTAAGATGTAAGGAAGATATGCAAAATATCATACCATTAGATGCAAATTATTTATATATAAATATATTCTTACAAATAAAAATATTTTCTATGTAATTTATTATAAATCACAATTTGCAATGTCACATTCCATTAGTCAATGGTTCCTCTCAATCAGCAAAAATGTAAATAGTACAATAATATATTCGTTTTGTCTTATTATTTGAAACATTTGATACATATATATATATATATATGTACGTACATTGTACGTCGTACATACATCTACCATAGCCATTACTTTTTAACAATTTTATTCTCATTCAAGTGCTGTTCAGTTTTTGTGTAAATTATTTAATTTAATTAAAATAATAGTTAATATTTATAATTTGAGATATTTAACGTTTTAATAAATGTTGTCAATAACTTCCTACTAATCATAAACTGTATACACTTTGCAATAAAAACTTGAGTTCAATTTAAATCAATAATTTGATACATGACGTATTAGACATGAACAATGAACATATTATTATCCTTACGAGTTACGACTACGTTACACAGTAGGCAGTATTTTCCTTTGAGTAATATTATTCAATAGAAAAGTTAGACATATTAATCTTAGTAATTCAATTTGTAAATACGATATAACGCATATTAATGTATTTATGTATAACATAGTAAATATATGTTTATGAATATATTCTAATATTAGAATGGCATTCACCTCGAAAGCAATATTGATTACAAAAGTTTTGGATCCTTAATTTGAAAAGTCAGCTTTTGTCATCGTCATTGACTCGGAGTAAAAAATGATCGAAAGTTGAAACATAATGGTTCTTTGGTTGGTAAAGTTGAATGTAATGAGAATGCTTAGCGTTTTTGTGGTCTTATTTAAAGTTAAACTTAAATTTTGACAAGTATTCACACACAATATTTGAATTTTGGTACATACAATTTACTTCACACAATGATTAATTTTTCTAATGTACCAATACCTACTGTAATATTAAAATCTTTATTAAAAAAAATAGTAAAAGCTACAGACGGAATAATGAGTTCTTATTTTTAATAAGTATTAATAGGTAATTTATATTTTAAACAATGTTAAAATACATTAAGACGTAAATATTTATAATAAATAGAATACAATATACATTTTAGTTATTATACATTTAACATACTTAAAATATTATATATGGAGTGATCCAACAAGTGTACTCGCCCCTCTTTTTTTCTTTAATGATGAAGTTTTTTCAAAATCTTTAATTATACTCAAAGACCATATTGTCATATTCTTGAGATTTTTTTGTGCCAATTAAGGAGTGTCCTGTGGCGATACGAACCTTTGTTTTTCAAATAAAAACTCTACTTTTTTTCTTTAAATTATTTAGTGGATAATTTTTTGAGAATTTTGATGCATCGAATTCAAAATTCAAACGAGTGATTTCCTAGTTATTGGACAATTTATACTAAGGATAATAGTCCATAACAGGGATATACTTATACAGTTCTACACATGGAATAAGAAAAATAATTAAATAAATCAAGAAGGATTTTACTTGCTATTTACCTAAGTGTCTGACTAAATAAATATAAAATGATGTAATATTTTATATTATGTGTATAGACTATAAATAACAACGTATATTGTATAAGCATTATCCTTCTCTCTTTCCTTGATTTCAATACACCAAAATTCTCAAAAAAATTTTCCGCTAAATAATTTAGAGTAAAAAAATTTGGTTCTCATTTGAAAAACAAAAGTTTGTATCACCACAGGACACTCCTTAAGTGGTACAAAAAAATCTCAAGAATATGAAAATATTATGGTCTTTGTGTATATTTAAAGATTCCAAAAATCAGATTTTGAAAAACTTCATTATTAAAGAAAAAAAGGAGAGTGAGTATACTGATTGGATCACTCTGTATATATTTCCAATAATATGATTCACGTACAGTACATTATAATGCTATCGCTGATAGGTTGTTTAATGTGATTTCTTTTCACAGAAAATTTATTGTTTGTACCTAAAACTACCAGACTGAAAACTATAATTTTTATTTTTCTGTTTAATATTGTAATTAATATTGTAATTTATTGTTTTTCCAAAAGAAAAAAATTCTTATGATGTTATATTATAATATGGTGTATTTAGGCTGTATAATACAGGGTATATTGTTGAAAAATTGTACTAAAACAAATGCTACCTAAATAATTTAATCTCATTACAAATAAGGAATTTAAATACAATTCTTAAAAAAATATTTTTCATAATGCTAAGTATAAATAAATATTTTTGTCGAATTTGTACATTTTAGGTTCTGGAATATATTGGTTAACAATGATGTGAGTATTTTTTTAAATTTATTTATTTTGATATATTTTTTTTCTTCAGTCAAAAAGATTGAAAATGTAATAAAAGGTACACATTTTAACTAAATTTGTGAAAACCTCGAACAATTTTAGATTAGTTTGTAATTTAAAATTAATTAATTTGAATACCTTAGATGACAATTTAATGTAGAATTAACCATACATTTTTTGTATCGAAATTTTGGAAACAAGTTTAGCGTAAAGCCACTTACGATTTCTTATTGTTATTTAACGGTTTTTCATTAAATTATTTTTATAATTTGTTTTTATTCAAAAAATATTAATTATAGGTATTCAAAATATTTCGTGTGAATATTATTTCATATAAATACATATTTCTCCTCGAAGTTTCGGTTGAATTTTTTCCCTGATATAACATACGATAAATATGAATCATTATTTATTTTTCTAATATTTTTTCTTTAGAATCTAGACAGTTATATTTTGATATGGTATTTATCTATAATAGTCTACTAAATTCTAACATTTATGACATTCACTTTCTCTCTCTAATCAACTTGGAGTTCCATCGTTGTATCATCGGTGATGTGCTGGTTTTTTTATTTAAATCGTTAATACATGGATAATAATTTATAGCACACGCTCTCCATTATGTAAGACTATTTTTGTATGGAAAAAACTAAATTTGACATTTTGAGGATAGCCTATCTACGAAAAAAATCCATTCTTATGTTTAAATAATTTATACTGATTTTCAATATGATTCAATACATCGTTACATCTATTTAATCTATTGTTGTATTTATTTGTT